CCTTTACTTCTACATACTTTATAAATTTATATTATAATTGTAAATGTATTTGTATGTCGAATTGTGGTGCTATATGCTATATGTACTTTTGATCCACTTGTGAAGTCAAAACAATTTTATTTCTAAATGTATACTTATTGTTATTTTATTAACCGAGTGCTTCGCATGCATTAATAATTACAGTTTTATTGTAAGAGTGTAATATTTCGATTAAAGACGGCAGACTTTTGATGCATACAAGTCATGCGAATTTATCAGCCTACAAGTGCTAATAAATACGGGTAAGTTGCAGTGCATTATTGATCGAATCAAATTCCCTATCACCCCAGCTCTCTGCAGAATAAAATTAAGTTAGGAAAGCACTCCCATTAATGACTTGCAACGAACGAAGAACGAGAGATACTTCGTGCTACGTTCTCGCATTTATTATGAGATAACAGTAATCAATTGGAAATTAGTGAAATATTATTTAAAGGGCAGACTTAAGACACTTTCATTATATTGGCCGAATCATTACATTGGTCATGACTTAAATTATAAATAATAACACTTCAATGCAATTAAATGGGTACGCACGGAATTAAGCAACAACTTCAAAGCAACATTTCAAAATTGTGTTATTTTCTTATTTTGAATCTACTGTCTGTCAACATATGTGACATGGCACAACATTTATGTTGTTTTTTTGTACACAATTTTGGATGAGTCAAATTTTGTTGCGTTGCTTTGCACTTTGATTACGTTTGACTTACCGTAATTAGGCAAAATTTTGGCAATTGTCAAATTTTGAAGCGAACTTTTACACCCCCAATTGCTTTAAAGTGTTATTGCCATGAAAAATTTTTGGCAGAACTTTATTCTTCGGTACAGTGATAGTTTTTCGGATATCACTTTGTATGTACACACCATGTATGTACAATATGCACCATGTATACATATGTAAATGCGGCATAAATTGAGTTCGTTTTCTTTTAAAAATTTGTGCCCGTTCAGTCATCATCGCCTATATCGAAATATTTTTTTGTTTTTTTTTATTTTTTTTTACATATTATAATTTTATAGTGTTGATAATTTTCGCGTTATTATTAATAAAAAACGATAAATTGCTTATGCCTTTAAAGCATGTCTTATTCTTCTCGTATCTCTGAAAACATTCATTCCCCATTTTTTGTTTGAATTTTAGGTTTTTGTGTTTTTTTCTTTTTTTTTTGAACGAAATCGTACATTAATACAATAAAAGTAAAAAAAAATATGCTCCTACAAAAGAATCAACAAAATTATTTTATTATTACACAAAATATTGTATGTGGTCACATTCAAGAAATTTGTTATTTTTTTCATTACAAATCTGATTCTTTTAATACATTTTGAGAGGTTTCAGTCTTTTGTGAGCATAAATTCGATTTGGTTATAAGAATCGTTTAAAAATTCAATTATAATAGATTTAGAGAACTTTCACTTCATTAATTGTATTGTTTCCACGGAATTATATTATTACTGACCCTATTATTCGGTATGATCTTAGAAGTTTTCCAATTTTTCCGATAGAATGATTCGTTGAGTTACTTACTCTGTGACAGATACTCACTCATTCTTTACTCTTTATACCCGTCCAGTTAGCATAATAAGTAGTAAAGTCATATAGTAGAAGATATGGCTTTTCAAATTTACACAGGTCTTTCTTAAACCTGCAAAATATTTGCATTTAATGATTTTAGTTTTGGTAATTCTACTTAAGTTCCTTATTACGAAACTCAGTGGATGTCAACAACCTCAAATTCATCATTTCCGATATTTTTCTTTTGCAAATATAATTTTCAAGAAATTTTCAAATTTTGTATTCGTTGTGGTTACTACTTCTTCAGAAACTCTATTGCCAATTAAGTATTTGCATTTAGTTCACCCATAAACACTCAAATAAAAGGAATCGCTTCTTTGACCGCTCCATTTAGGATTGTCCTAAATTATAAGTTGTTATTTAACAACGTTATACTTTTCTCTTTCAATATTTTTGTTATACAATACATTTTGCGAATAATATGAAATTGAACCTTTCTGAACCACTTGTTTTAATATTGTGTGCTGATTTGAGGAGCTAAATGATAAAGAGAAAAACAAAAAAAAAACATACAGATTTAATCAGATAAGTAATTTTTGATTTAGAAACATCTAATTGCCATTTCTTACATAATGAAAAGTTTTGTATAATATTATTTTTTTCATTTCTTTTAAATTTTATTCGCTTATTTTCCATTCTTGATGTTCTTTCAAACAAAAGAAGAATTTTTTGCTTCCATTTAGCATGTATGTTGTTTGCGTGTGTGTTGCATGTATTGTATAACAAAGTGAATGATGATTTTCTACGAAGTAATAAATTACTTCTTGAATTAAGTTCTGACTTAAGAGTTACTAAAAAAAATATGTTGAAGTGTTGTACAGTGAAAAGTTTATCGGCTCCATTTATTTAAGTATGTTATTCGAAAAGAAAAATTTTTTTTTCTTATCTTAGATCTTTCTCGACCTCAGTTTGCTGTTATACAATTCTTATATATTTTTGCTAATATGAACTTATAACTTAACTAAATGGTATAATTTATTACGAATTGAATTGCAAAATCGAAATAAACAAAAAAAAATGAAATTTATTTTTTCTTGGCTGTTGAATTTTATTATTGAATCGATTTGCATTTTTGAAATAAAATATGCCAATAAAGGGTTTTAAATTCAAAGTTTTTTTTGTGTAGTAATAAAAGAGAAAAAAAAAAATAAATAAAAGCAATCATTTAGTAGCTTGTTTGGGTTTGAATTTCTCCTTTTTTTCATAATTTGATTATAGCAAATTATTAAAAAATTGACTGAAATACAGATTTCATACAGTTCTGAATCGCAGTCGGTCATCTTTGTTTTTGTCAATTTGGGGAATTTTTCTGATCCAAAACTCGTTATGACTTGGAATCAAAATCAGGTCAATTTCGAACGATGCATTGTCTATCTCGTTAAGAAATGATTTGCAATTCCGGACTATAATAGAATTAGTCGTCTCCGCTTCCAACCCCTTTATCCCTGCTTAACTTTCTGTGAAAATACTAATACACTTAAATAATATCACGTTGACCGCCAGTCATTTCAAAAACCTCGTTTATTACTATCACCGCCGCCTGAAAGACCTCGGTCTGGAAGACGAAAAGAGATCTCCACAAGCGCTTCTTTGGAATAGACTCCTCTTCGAAACCTATCATTCGGTTAGATAGAAGTGGTTAGCCGATATGTTGCCTTCATCCCTCTATATTTGCCTTGGTAGGTATGAAGTGCCAAAGTCCTTTGTAAATGAAAGCACATGAAAGATATAGTCAACACTCTGCGGCACATGTTCAGTACATAGAATCACCGAACCACTATAAATATTCATTGAAAATGCTCTTACCTCAAACACCTTCAATTTTATTCTAACTTGAAAAAATATTCTGCATAAAATTTGTTTTTTTAGAATGCAATCTGAAATTAGAAAAAGCGGAAAATGAGTCCAAAACAAGATGAATTTTATTAAAACAAGAAATTACTCAATGTACATGAATATAAAAAAGCAATAAAAATAGCAATGAAATGATTCTGGTTGAAAATTATGTTAGCAGTTTTGCATAAACAAATCGTTAATGATTTTTAATAAACAGATAAAAATCAAATAACAATACAAAATAAAAACAAAAATAAAAAACAAAGTAAAAAACATGAAATAGGCGTTGTTAAATGAAAATTCCATAGTTAAGCAGCATCAGACTGTCTTCATTTTATTTTTAAAATTGAAATTAAAATTAAAATTTTGATTGCGTATAAAATTTCATAATCATTGGTAGCGATTCCACTATACACATAAACATTGTATACAACAACTAATTATCTGGTGGCAAGTAGCAAAAATGAAAAAGAGCAGAAAAAGAAATGTGGAAAGGATTCGTTAAAGTAATTAAATGATTTTGTTTTGTTAATATTAATTAATCTTCTTTTATGTATGTATTCAAATAATGTTTTTGTTAATAAATGATTCGTTTATGAAAATCCTGCTCCGAATTATTATTGTTTTTAAATTCATATTCATTGATAATAGTTGGAATTTCGTGAGTCAGGTGGCGTTATCTTTGACAGTTTTATATTTGTTTTGTAGAGTAATTTACTTTTTATTGGATCGATTAATTCAATTAGATTTTGGTTAAAAATTTATTTGAACTAAGGTGGCTCCATTAATTTGGAATGAAAAATGAACGGGAATTATGGTGGATCCGTGAATTTCTTCAACGAAATTTGAGCAAGAATATATTGTAAAATGATGCCTTCTATTGGCCAAGTATTAAATGGCAGTATCTTTTTACTATTAGCGGCTTAATTTACTCACTATACCACAATTCTGAGAGAGAAAATATATTATATGTCATTTGTTTTGGTAGATGACAAGTTCAGTATATGCTAATTATGATAATAAAATATTTCATAATAATGAGTTGAGGAAAAAATGAGAAATTATTTGAAAATATGAGAGAATATTGAATTTCTAGTTTGACAGTACGTTGAGTGAAGTACGTTGAATGAGTTCAATTTGTTTTGAAGTTCAATTAAATAAAAAATTATTAGACTTAATCAGGTCAGGGAAAATTTTAATTACAATATTCTTTAAAATAAAAATTATTTCTATTAAAAATTTTAATCAAATTTTCATTTTTTATTTTATTTTCATTTCAGACTATCAATTTTTAAAGGAATTGCACAATATAGGATACGCATAATAAAATAATTAAATTATAAAAATAATCAGAATTGTTTAAGAGAAGGAAACATTGCAATTTTCTGTTCAAAACATCTGCATAACACTTTTGAGATCATAAATTAAAAATTAAATTAAAAATAAAAAAAAAATTAAAAATAAATATTGACAAACACTTGGAAAACGTTCGTGGAATTTTAAATAAGCTAGAATATACTTTCATATTTGAAAAAAGAAGAAGAAAATTAAAAAAGTGTTAGGAATGATTTGTGGCATTTAATAAATCAATCAAATTATAGACTTGCAATATAAAATATAAAAAAAGAACACATAAATTAAAGAAAAATCACAGAAACTTGTCAAAATGGTCACTTTAGAATTATTTAAATCAAATGAAGACTTATTTGCACCTTTTCATCATCATAGCCATCAATATTATAAATCGCGATTCAAGTTTAAATATTTAATGGGAATTTTCTTAATAATTTTTTCAATATTTCAAAGAAATCAAGTGAATGCTTTGGATTTAGGTAAGTTTTTAATAAATTTATAAAAATAAATATACAAACGAAAAAAATTGGAAATGTGCTTAAGATATTACAAAATCCTCAGACATAATTTTCAAAAACCACAGCTGATTTTGCACTGATTTGAGAAAGACTTTAAATTTTATAGACAATTCTCAGATTTGTCAATACAATTGACAGAAAAAGACGTCTTATATTGCTTAAGACTCTTAAATTTACTTTTTAAATTGCTTGGGCGTAGACCATGATATTTTTAAAATAATTAATTTGCACTGATTTTGGAATGTTATGATACTATTAAAAATTATTGTGGACTATAGAAATTATTAGGTTTTGAACTAAACACTTAATTTATTTCTCGATTTTATTAAATATAGCACAGTTTATTCCTGTAAAGCATTACGTACCATTCTTGTAAAAATGAACGCATTTCAAATTATTTATAAATTTTGTAATAATCAAGTGTAATATTGAGGAGACTAGACTACAACGCCAACATTCCAACAAAAGTGATTACTAATGTAATTTGATCCTCAAATATAACGACTAAACAAAAATATTGTTTCATAAATGTATTCAAACCAATTACACTTATGACTATTCCGATAAAATTCAATTCCACAATATTAATCCTAAAAGTAAGTCAAATTCATTTGATAGTGATAAGGTTTATCTTCCATAGTCTTGCGTCTTTAATAATCCAGCACTATAACGTCTAGCCTAGTCATTCTGAAAGTGAAATTACTTTAAAACTTTTTCATTATTTTAAATTATTTTTAAATATAATTTTCAGTCATCATTTTAACTATGATACAGTTGTACATAAATATTTATAACAGTTACACATACATACTTTTGTATTTCATTCTTGTCCTTACACTTATAACTATTAATTTAATTCCTTAAATTACAATATATTTATAGCAACATGCAATAATCCATTGGGTATGGAATCTGGATCAATAGCTGATTTTCAAATAACAGCAAGCTCAGCACATGATATGGGAAATGTTGGCCCACAACATGCAAGGTATGTTTATGCGTTGATTTCCTTTTTTTTTTCTCAAGTATTTTAATTTATTTTTAGTTTATTTATTGTCGGAAGTATACTCATATTTTAGTATAGATATATATAGGACCATATTGCATATTATTCATATGGTATAACACAAAATATTAAAGAAGGATATTTTCATACCGTTATATTTGTTATATAAGTTTTTGTTTTCTTCCTTTTTCAACTAATTTTAGTTTCTAAATGAAAAATTGAGGAACACAGAGGGAAATATAACCTGTGTGTTTTAGTGTATGTGTATAGCATGCAAAATGTTTGTGCGGAAAATTACAAAGAATTTATGAAAAAAAAAATATTCCTTTAAGAATTCTTCCATGCACGTACCTACATTATTATTATATTTTTTATAATAGTTTTGTAACAACTTGTTTATCCACTCATTTATAGTTATATATGAAAGTATACCTATATTTTCTACTACTAGTGTTTTTTTCTTCTTCTTCTTTTAATGCGCATATTTTTCTCCTTGTATACTTCCTTATTAATTTTACTATTCCTTTAGTACAGAAATAGAAAAATAACTGTTCTGTTAATGTTGAAAGAAAATGTTTTTTTTACTCCCCTTGCTATATGGAATATGTTAAATTATTTAATATTACGTGTAAGGATTACAAAAAAAAATTAAATAAGAAAAATATTTTAACAATGAATTCAAAATGCATAAAATGGAAAAAATCTAGAATTAAAAATCATGATTACAAAAAAAAAAATAGCATTGCCGCGGATATTTGTGTTTTGTTAAAATAAATGTAATCTTAATAACGGTATAATAAGTATGCATACAAGATTTAAAATGAAAAATTTGAACGACTTATTTGAAGTAGTTTTGATTGCATGTTATACAAAATGAAACTTGAAAAAAATTTATTTAATATAAATTGAAAATAATCAAGTTTCCTGTGTTCTAGTTTAGATTTTATGATTTATTTTTTTTATAGAATTCTTAAAATTATTCAATTCAATCTTTAAATTTTTCTACTTTCAACCGAAGTTCATAATGAATTTGGAATAATTCAAAAAATAATTATATTATAGAATATTTTTCCTAAGAAACCCGGATCAAATCAAAGGAATTCTGGAGCAAAGTTAGTTATTCATTTATTAATATCTAGTTGGGGCTAAATATTAATCCCAGCAAAATCAAATTATTTGCCTTCACAAAATGTAGGAGCAGGGAACAATTAGTTGGTCCAACTCTATTTGGTGAGCGCATAATTGCGTACTCTACGGAGATAAAGCGAATGGAGGGTAACCCTAGATGATTGCTTCTCCTGGAATACTTATATTGACAGGCTCATCGAAAGAGCAACGGCGGTTTTGTGGACGTGTAGGAGTTTTGTTTGCAAAACTTGGGGGGTTTAGTCTTAAGGTACAGGGTATTGTTTCACTATAGCTAAACATGTCGTCAGGGGTCTCGGATGGTTTTTTTTCTTGTTTTTAAACACTGCTTTTTTTAATCCAAATCATTTTAAGTGGTAGTATGAGTTTTAAGTGGTAGTATGAAGGACAGCCTCTTTCTATGTTGCTGACTGCTAGTTTTAGGCGATGCATAATTTTGTACAAGAATGTGCGCGCAAAAGAGTAGCATATTACTTTAGATATCGATTGTAACAGCTGATCTTTTAATTTTCAAAAGAATATTAAAATTGAATTCCTAAAAACTCATTTAAAACGAATATTTAACATAGCCGCCTTACATTTCATTTTAATTTTCTATACCACGTACAGTAGTCCAAAAACCGTCCAGTCATTACACGTTTTCCTTATTTCTTGAAATTAGAAAAAAAAAATCTATAACTCTAACTTCTAATGAAAAAAAAAAAAGAAAATGATATGCACTACTACACACTTGAAAAGAAAACTATAGAAAATGGAAAAATTTACTTTTAAATTAAAAATCATATAATTTATATATTTTCCTGTAAATCTTTTAATAGTCGCTATGTACATACTAGAACAGTCAGTAACTATATGTGCAACAATGAAATATTTTCATTATAATTAAAAAAAATACAATTTTTTTAAAGATTTTACATTTCAACACTGCTGTTATACTAGAGAGGAGCTAAAGCAATAACGAAAAGGCAATAAAATAAAGAAGAGAAAAGAAATTTTTTTTTAGTTTAGCAGAAGGCGGAATACAACAGAGAACAGAATGGAGAATATTTCTCATGCACACATACAATTTCCATATATACATTTTAACATATGCTAGTAGCAAAATTCAAGAAGGAACACTGAGAAAAAAAATTGCTAGTCATAACAAAGCAAAACATAAAAAAACATAAAATAAAAAATATACCAAAGGATTAGCATTTAAAATAAAAACTTTTCATAGACATTCTTTAATATAAATCAAACGCCACATATATAGAACTATAGAATAGAAAGTTTAATATAGAAAATATAGAAGAATATACTATTTAGAATCCAATATTATTTTCATATATAAGAATTTTTAATATTCTCTATGATACTTGTTATACATACATATACCAACATACATATTTCAATTTTTTTTTTTTGCATCCTTGTAAAAAGTTATTAACATTGCGCTTATATAATAATATTTCAATGTTGTTGAACTATGTTTTAAAAGGAATATATTTGGAATATAAGCAAGCAAAAAAATTGTTAGAAGCGAGCATGCGCTCCTAAAACTATACAATATGAAATTTAAAATTGAAAAAAAAAAAAAAAACACAATGAATGGTACAAGAAGTATTAAATTTTAAAAATAAAATGAAAAAAAGAAAAACAATAAGAAAGCTTCAAGAAATATTAAAGGAATAAGGATATTACTTGGTATACAATTCTTGTACAATATAGTACAAGATTGAAGTCATAATAGATTTTTCTTATTGCATTTTTAACACTCTCATATATGCTTAAATTAAGCATAAATAAGTATAAGGATACCATCTAAATATATGCGGTCAAAATTATAAAATATGTACGTATGTATGTGTTCTATTATTATAGCGTATAAATTTGATTATAAATGATTTAATATCGAAAATGATCATCAGATCTACAATACCATTAAATTTATTTTAAGTATAACGTGTATACGATTGTGTTTCTGAATTTATATATGTAAGTAATCAATTGCTACTTTGATTATTTGGCAGCTACTATCGATGATAATTGGGTATAACATGTCGTCAATATCCTATCGTTGAGCCAAAGAGTATAATCTATTAATCGAGATATTTTGGAAAAAAGGTATACAGTTAATTGAGTCTTTCTTATTCTTCTGGCACAACATCCCGTGACAAGATTTTGCCTTCTTTACAATTTGCCTAAATTCTGTTCTATTTATTGCTTTCTTTACCATTCTCAAACTCCTAGTATTCGCAATTCACTTTCTTCGCCATCTATCCATCTAGCCCTCAGCCTAGGGCTGAATATATTTTTAGCAATTTTCAATCGGTTTTTTATAGTGTATTTAAATTGTTATGTTATTGTTCTCAGAAAAAATTATTCTGAACTTAGAAATTAAAAATCTTATTCGATATTAGTCAACACCTTTTAGTAATTCTGAAAAACTTTATTTGAACTCAGCTCTCATACATGTACTGAACAACTTTATATTGCATATCCATGGCATAGTTATTCCATGGTATTCATTTGTGTCATGTAACTCAACTAATATTTTTGTGATAAAAATTACAAAAAAAATTATTTTTTTTTTTGCATTTCTTCCTTTTTTTCCTTCTGGTTTTTATATTTTTTTTTTCTAGGACATCCTAGATAACGTTCTTGGAATATCATAAAATATTTAAGGATATTTTTCAAAAACCCATCAAAATATTTGATGACTTGTGAAGGTTTTCTTTCTAGAATTTCTTAAAAAAAAACTTTAATTTTTTTTTTCTTTTTTTTTTGTTTTTTTTTGTTGTGAGCTATATAATAATTTTTTTTTGGGGTTAAGAGCTGTCATTTTAATTTAATTTTTATTTTTTATTTAATTTTTGTTTTTTTTTTTTGTTATTGTTTGTGACAAATGCCATATTCTCATTGTATTCTGCGTGTTTTATATAAATTTATAATATTCCGCTTATTTACATAATATTATTTTTCAACTATTCTTCTTGCAACTAAACATGCAATATTTCAAGTTCTCATTTTTGTTATTATTTCTGAATACCCAATATGAGTAAAGAGAGAGTGAGAAAGAAAGAGACAGTGCAAAGACAAAAGATGTTCTCAAATTTCTATGAATGAGTACTTTAGTCATTATGAACAATGTTTTTGAATATATAATGTAAGTAAACAGAGGGAGAGAGAGGGAGAGATACATATAAAAATGTTAAATAATATTAAAATTAAAATCAGTGTTACCGATTATTTCAACTGTACACACTGCATGGGGGTTGTTGGGTGTTAATTTGAGGCTTACCATTAATTTGATGGGTTTTCTTGTTGGCCTAATGCCTGGAATTCGCGTGGGTACGCAGGTAGGGTCCCGCTCTCTCACTACTGTTACTACTACTACACTGCATGAAGACTATGGTAACATGCAATTTTTATAAAATGATGCTCCTATTTCCTAAATATTTTAACGTAAATAACAAAATAATTAAGGAGTAGTTCCGATAGGAGGCCTTATTTCGAGCACTTTTTGCTTTCTACCTCCTATTGACTATTCGTTAAATTATGTTTCTATCAAATTTCGTTAACTTTCGTTAACCCAACTTAAAAAAATGTAAAAACAAATATAAATAAATGATTAATTTGAAAGATAAAAGAAAATTTGGAGTTTATTTTAAAATAAAAAATAAAGTCGTCCTTAAGTACTTAGTTTTGTTTAAGATCTGACATCTTACTTTAGTTAAGTAATTATAATAGAAAAAATTGAATTTAATCACCACCTTACCTTAACCCATTTCATTTATAACTTAATAAAAGACACTTTAAAATATTTAATATATACTCATATCATATTTTAGTGG